CACACACACACCCACACACACCCACCCCCACACCCACACCCACACCCTATCTGCCAAAATAATCAGACCAGACGGGACCGGTCGGTCTACCGGTAAAACTGGGCTACCAATAAAACATCGACTGTTTTAGCGAAAAGTTTTTTAATATGTCTCTTGGAAGTTACAAATTTACCAGAAGATTCAGAAATATCATAATAATTGGACGGTGATGCGGTTGTTCAATTTTCCTACACAAATATTTCATATAATTTTTATGGGACATAGTTATCTTGCTTTTCTGAAGATCTTCACTACTCAAGCATGTGAAAGAATGCGGATAAAAAGGACTAAACTATTCAGATAAAATACGAACTGTATTATACAGTTAGAACCAATTGTAAAGTTGCATTACTCCTAGTGGTAAAGCCAGGAAAGTGGAAAATTTAGACTGGTCTAATCAGTCTAAACCGGTCTACCAGTCTGACCGGTCTAAACCTGTCTACCAGCCAGATCGGGACCGGACCGGACCGACCTCTGACTCACACCCACACCCATATTCATCCTGACGCCCATGATCATTTATAGTAAAAGCAATAGTCAGCAAATTCCTGTCTCACCATCAGCAAGTCATCAGGTACACCATTAATGAAAGATATTGATGCTTTCGAACACAGTAAGGCTTTATTCAATTGAAAATAAAGATTATAAAAAATCAAACACCATCAGGCTAAAGTAAAATATAAACCAAGGTCTCAATCAGTTTCGGCTTACTCCATCTTTATACCCAGTCACTATCAACACCATAACGATCGCTAAAATCAAAACCAGTGTAATTATCAGGATCAGTAGCATGACGATTACGAAGAAAATTCTTAGTTAAAGCGATAAAAGCTGGACTTTTACCAACACCAAAAGCAGCACCAGAATCCAGTAGATCATTATCCTTATCAATACGACGAATAAGATCATCATCACCAAAACGACGCAGCATTTCACGAAAATTGAACCTACCATCATCCACAGCAGTGGCGTTCTGTTCAGTTGATTCCCTTGAGTTTTGTTTTATTTGTTGACCTTCGGTCCCTAGTAAATATCGGAGAAGCATTATTACGGTTGTATAATTGATTTTTTTTCCTAATACATATGACTATGTAACCGAGTTTGAATGCTGGATTATATATAAAAATGTGAAGAATGAATTTTTTTGTTACAGATGGCCTTCGCCTACAGCAGAGTATAGTTTTCATGTGTTAGAACTCTGAACCTTTAATCATAGACGGGGGTTTACTGCTAATCTTCTGTTTGCTTGCAATGCATTACTTCTTCAAGAACATGTTATTTCCAGGATAAAAACAAATATTTATTCCTATTGATCGTATGGATGCTAAATATCAGGAGCTACTGGGAAACTTCTATTGAAATGTGTTGATAGTTGTGTGCTCATTACCTTTTGTAAAACTCACCCATATTTTCGAAGAGAATAGTGAGTGTAGATTTTAAGACTAGATTTTGCAGCTTCCCCTAGCCCACTCTTTAGATTTCACAATTACAAAGCATAGCAACCAGGGTCAATGGTGATTGGGTGCAATTTCCTAGCAACGGACGAAAATAAGAACTTACCGTTCCTCTACGGCACGTTGGCAACTATATGGCGCGAAACCTCTATTTAGTATTTTTTAATGATTTATTTCAAAACCTCTGACAATATACATTAAATTTAGAAGGCTCAGAGTTTGTGAGTTCCACATTTCGGCACTTCTTGCAAACCGCACTGACAAGTTTTTTTTCTCTCTTGATTAATGATTTGCGAGCTCTAAATTTTGAGGGTATGGGATGTGGGTGTGGGTGTGGGTGCGAGAGTCGATGTGAGTGTAGGTGTTGGAGCCTCATTTTTTATTACATTCACACTCACAGTCCCACTCCACCCACACGCACACGCACACACACACCCCTGTATGTAGCTACAATTGGAATGAAAGCAGGATAAAAAAGTGGAGAATAAACAGGCAAGAGTAAAACAGAAACCTAACAGTAACATAAACGTATATCACTGGTTCCAACTGTCAGTTAATACAAGAAGAACTCGTACACATGGAACAGCATTGTTTTTACATTGACTGCATGTTCAATAACAATGGTAATCTGTTCAGGATCCTTATTAAATCCTGGTTAAAAGCTTGTCAAGACTTTCGAATATCGTGACTAAACATTTTTTTGGAGGAATTAACAATATTCTGAACGAATCCTTACTCAAAAACAGTGGCACTCTGCTCAGGATCCAGACTGATCTTGGTGAAAATTCTGTCAGGAACTTGACATTTCGCGGCTGCGCGCTTTCCCCAGGACTTAATTGTTTCCGTAGAAAAAAATAGCGAATCTTTCAAGGATTCTCGCTGGGACCTGTAAGAATCTGAAACAGAAACTGTAAGGATTTTTCTTGGGACCTAGTGATGCGGAATCATCCGTTGCTTTCGTGGGCTAGGTGGTAGGAAGCGATCTATTTTAATTTAGCATTATTCAAGATTTGCTTTCTAAGAACCGGTAACATGTAAATTTGCAATGAACATGTGTTTGCCAAGCTGCGAGGATATGTATTTTTTTAAATCGTGAGTGTTAAAATCTTTAGGACGATGATTATATACCAGGACTTTGCATTGGATGAAATGGGAAGAAAAATCGTCCCTTGGGATGAACTTTCTCGAACTGTGCTATGAACTGAGAAAGATATCAAAAGTTTTTGCACCATGTAGGTTGAGACTATCCTTGAAGAGCTTTTGTCCAATGGGATGGAATTGTCTTTAAAAGTTTTTTGTCCCATCTTATGGAACAGCTTTAAAACGTGTTTCGTTCAGTAGAATGACATAATCCTGAATTTCTTCGGTCTATCCCATTCCATGGTATTTCACATTCGTCAAGTATCTTCTAAAAAAGTACAATTTCTTAACACACCTATCATTTGAACTGACACTGTCAAATATTATATTATTTCGCTTTATATTTCATAATTTTAGCAAACGCAAATGAATCAATCAAAATAATACTTCAACTATGTAACAACTGAAAACAAATAAACATAAACAAAAGAAAATTTCTTATTCAAAAGCACGGAGCAAGTTTTGTATTTTTCAGAATACGAATGAAGATGTTATTAACTGTATCGGAACCTAGTAATGTTCGACGTTCATGGTTACACTGTCTTATCACTTACAAAATAAAAAAATGATACCTCGTTAGAATAAGCGAGGAAGACATCTTTCTCAAAATCGGGATGTGGATGTGGAGTGTGGTTAAACTAGTACATAGAAGACTCACATTCAGATCGGGAGCACGATTGTTGTGTGTAAGACAATTGTGTGTATGGACAATTGTGTGCAAGGAAATTGTGTGAACAGACAATTGTGTGTTAGATGTGTTTGTGTGCAGATAATTGTTTGCAAAATGAATATGTGTATGTTTTTCTGTATTATCATCTGTAGGATTTTCTAAAATCCGTAAAATTCTGGATGCTGTGTGTTGAGCTTGGATTTGCTTTGGCTTTGGTACGAGACTTGTTACTAGATGAGAAATTTCACCATCTACGTATGCTTGCTCTGTTTGAAGGTCACTCAAAAAACGCCAAAATCCAGGATGGGCTGAATCTACGATATTGTTAAGTCGTCACTGCCATCCTTCGATAGCATTGTCAATCAGAACTGGTTTGCCTTTTTCAGTTTCAGAAAATAAAATTGACATGATGTGTTCGTACTTTCAATATGATCTATATGATAGTGAATTTTAAATGACTGTAAATGGATATCTTCTATTATTCTCACTCGTTTAAATACTTTCAAGGAAAATTGATGGATGTGCATGCGCATTACCGTCCGTTCTCATTAGTGTCTTACACATAACTCTCTGTTCTCATAATTGTTTTTCACACAATTGTCTTACACACAACAATCACAGACCCATTCAGACCCACACTCTACATGTATATACGCACCCACACTCGGTAGAAAATTTTCTCCTCTTTCAAACTTTGTATGATTTATATCTGTTATATATTCACAAATAACATGAGAATGAAAAAAAGAAAAATCACGAAATTTTGCAATTTTTATATCAACTTGTCAAAAACATAGTATGACACGGCAGTTAAGCAAAATCAATAGTTATTTTACACCATATTGTTGAAGATTACCTATATACATAGCGAATTTATTGCGCGAATGTTTCTCTTTTTCTCGTCTCATTTGATTCAAGAATATATGACGATATACAGTAGACAACAAAAGTCTTCGCCCTAGATGAAAACTATCTAAATAAAAGTTTTTTGCTTTGAAGTTTGTACCAAAGCAAGAACTTAATGAGTACTGATCGTAGGCAAATGCTTGAGTGCTGTCCACTTACTGAAGCTAAAACATCAGGTAAACATCAAAGATTTTTCTTAATATATTTGACCAAATTATGTAATATTTGAAGCAAATGCTGGTCATTTTCAATTCGCTAAAGTAAAAGTAATCTTTTTGGTACAATATATAGTTCTGATGGTGATCTACCCGTGCCAGCAAGGTCACTTCGATTTACCATACCCTAGTGATTTTCCAGAGCTGTCGGTCCAGAGGTATAGAATGATGTAAATCTCTACTTTTCTATAGGCTATAATTCTGAAAATTTTACTATAGATTTATTCATACTTATGCAGTCTATAATAAAATTTTCAAGCGGAAAGGTTGAGCGTAACTTCAATTTGAAATCGAAAACTGGTCGAGTTCCAATATGCTAGTTCCGTGGGAAGTAGTATATAGGTCACAACTTAATAAACACTCACCGGTTTGTAATGAAAATTTTCCTAAAGAGGAATCAGGACCCAGGCTGTCCAAACATGGGTTGAGTGGCATTGTATATATATATTAGCTCGAGATAACACACTAAAAAATACTGGGTGTTTACTTCATACTTTAGCCTCACTTGGGAAACAGAACTTAAGCTTTTACCTATGATCAGAACTCTTCAAGTTCTTGCTTTGGTATAAATTTCAAACCAAATAATCCTTACGTACACAGTTTTCGTCGAGGGGGAGACTTTTAGGTGTCCGTGGGTGTGCATGTACGTGTAATTGAAATGAATACCCACACTCACACCCAACCCGAATGTTCAGGATCGGTGTATGCCTATTTATCTTGGTGTATATCCTCTTTTTTGATCATACGAATAAGTAAACTGATAAACGGTCTCTGGAATAGTTATGCTGTCATGTGTTTCAACTAAAGATCGATCAAACTTCTGACTTCAATGCGATCAAATTTGATACATTTACACACTGTATTTGAAACTATTTCCTATTTCACAAAAAATAGTCGGGCAGGTATCTGTTGAATAAGTTTTGATAAAAACAAGATAGAGAGCTACGGTTTTTACTGCAGGAAAGAGGGGATGAAGATGTAGTAAATTCTATATCACAAAAGTATCTGGACTGACTTTTCTATGAATTTTAATTGATGTTTTGTAAATCAAAGTATTCCGTTAGGAGATCACAATGAATTTTCAATAATCGAGTGTGAATTGCAACCTTTCATTCAACATCTACAAAACTACGTAACTTTCAGACTTTTGGATTCAACTGTTCACGAACTATAGGTATTCTACTGAATATTCACAGCCGATTTTCATATCAATTTCTGTGAAAAATCAGTATTTTTGCTTTTTTCTTATTGAATTAAAGACCAATTATTCGGCGCTTTTCTTAAAAAATTGATAAAAAGACCTTCAGAAACCATTTTAGAAAGACCTATAATATGGTATTCATTTCATATTTGTCTTCTCTTTTCGCAGTGAAAATTATAGCTTCGTACCATGTTTCTATCAAAATTTGCTCAAAGAATACTAATTCGGTGGTTTTTTTGTTGAAATCGGCAACAGTTTTGGTATGGTATATGCTAGGAATTTGTTTAATAGGAACATACCCGACGGTCTAGCAGAAAGATAGTGACAGATTAATGTGAGCAAAAT